GGGGGGGGGGAGGGCGGGGGGGCTTCTCGAGGCAGCCACTGCCCTTCTGCGCGGCGCCTCGCGGCTCTGGGTGAGGAAGGGGACCACGTGTCAGGACGTGCTCGCCCCGTGAGATGCTGAGACACACCTTCTTGGCTGGAGAGCCACGAGCGCTGCTGGCTGAAACGTCAGTCGTGCAGTCTGCTGGGGGGTGTCACACGGGGAAATGTCAGCCAGAACGATCTTTCCCTCACGCTCTCTGCCTCTGTGGAAAAACAGCAGACAAATCAAGCAAACAAATGGCTAACAGGCCCCAAGTAGACAGCAGACAACCAAAACCCCAACAAAATAAGTTAATATTTATCAAAATATTGTACCAAGCACCAAGCTACAGAAATTTAAATACCTTTCTTTGGAAATCCAAGCTTTGGGCTCTTATAATCCTCCCGCTGGAAGATTCACAAGTGATACTGAGAGTAAAGCTTCCACGAGCGACCAGAGTGGCCACAGAGCCTAGAACGAGCCTGACCCTGCCATCTGGCTGCGTCACTCACTCTTGCATTTTTTCTCCAAGAACTTTCTGGGGCAGAGGGAGAAAAGCCAAGTGCCATCAGTTCATCAGGCTTCTTTCTACCAGATTTGTGACAAAGGCCAGAGGGGGAGGACATGGGGAGGTAAGCTTCAAAAGCAGCGTTTACATTTCCCGTGGAGTCCAACATGCCTGCCCCTCACCTGCCAACACGGACCCTTCCGTCTACTGAATTACAGTCTCTCGGGAAGGAAGACTTGGCCCGGCTACCAGAAGTGTCCCCAGGGCCTCGGGAGGGAGCGCCGTGTGCACAGGCACACATGGACACCGAGGCAGGGGTGCGGGGCAGGGTCACCGACCCGCACACAAACCCGCAGCGTCTGGACGACACACACCCACACGAGAGGCGCAGTAATGTGACCCCAAACCATGTCACGTGCAGACTCCGCACCCTGGACAATTCGGGGTAATCACTCGACCATGTGACACGCCACTGTTAAGCGCCAGCTGAATTTGGTGGAGTGACTGATTCACAGCGACAGACAGGAGGACTCCACGTGAGGATGACCCAAGAGGGGCCAGAAGCGCTGGAGTGCCACACCGTCACTCAGGACGAGCGGATGCCGGCCTCGGAGATCTTGAGACCCAAGAAACCGACCTCCGAGCGGCAGAGGAGGACTCAGGGAGGAGCCAGGACCACAGAAAGCGCTGTTCTCCGCTCGGCTCACTCGAGGCGGGTCCTACAGAAATAGTGTCACATTCCAGTTGCTCAGGACTCGGCCGGCGCTGAGAGATGCCAGAGCAGCAGGAACCAGCCCGGGGCCTGGACGGCTGGTGGCCACAGGAAGTCCGGGTGGAGTAGCCACCGCCCTGGCCCCGCGCAGAGCCCGGTCCTGCGGCCCGAGTGTGCAGTGTGCGAGGGGGGCCGGAGCCCCTGCCTGGAAGGAGGTGGGGGGGGGTCACAGTCCTCACGGCCCCTCCAGAGGCAGCTCAGCAGAAGCAGAAGGAAACCGTCTAGTTTTCCTTCCTAAGTAAACTAAACCGCTGTCCTCAGGCTTGGGGCGGCACAGCTGGGGACAGACCATGTCGTGGTGCTCGGCTGGCATCTGGGGTGGCTGTTCGGGGCTGGGCGGGGAGGCGGGGACTGGAGTGTCCAGCACAGTCCCTGGAAGGGAGGCCGGACCGCTCAGGTGATGAGAGGAGGTGACCTCCATTCTGCCCAAGGCCGCAGCAGCAGTGGCGCCCGGCCAGCGAGGAGAAGGGCTGCCGTCTTGCTCAGAGAGAGGCTCAGAGGCAGGTGGGCAGCCTCGACCCCGTGGCCCCAGCTGGGAGCTGCCAGGTGACGGGCCCAGTGAGCCGGCCTGAGCAGGACACGCAGGCCGCGGGCTGCCCCGTCGCGGCACTGTGCTCTCTGGGTGCGGGCGGGTCCCGTGCATGCGCAGGGGGAGCGAGGTGCTGCCGGGGCCTTGGGGGCAGGGCTGTGCGTCACTTGCAATGGTCCAAGTGACCGTCAGGAGTCCTTGCTGGGTCGGCGGCCAGGGACGCCTCCTCGCTGTGCCAGAGACCATAGCCAAAGTAGATGAAGAAGCCTGCGGGCCGAGGGCAGAGACCGGGTGTGACTGGGCACCGTCGGGTCCCGGGAAGCAGTCCCCACAGCAGCCTCTGCAGGCGGCCCCGCCGAGAGGCCTCTGCAGGTGGCGGCCCCAGGCAGGGCCCCCGTGGAGGAGGGCGCGACTCATCGTGTGGGGTCGCCTCTACGCTCGGCAAAGGCGCGTCCTTCTGGGCAGCCTCAGGCCGGGGCAGCGGCTGGGCTCGGGGCCCCGGGAGCGGGGGTGGGCGCTGGTTCCACAGCCTCTCCACTGCCCACCTGGCGGGGTGCCCCGCGGCCACTGAGGGGGGGGGCCAGGACAGACCCTGCAGGAGTCACGCTGTCCCCGCCACGGTGGACTTCCAAGGGCGCTAGGGCTCCCCAGGCTCTTCGCGCCGTCTGTACAGCCCTCGTTCTCCCTACCTGAGTGACTTAGGCACTCAGGTTGCCTGGGACTGCGTGCAACCCGTGAATTTAGTCATTCCAGTGAGTGTCGGGGGCCACAGAGGTCCGTGCTCCTAACTGTCCCCCAACCCCGGGGCCACCTTTGTGCCAGTGACACAGGAGAGCAGGCCTTGAAGGAAGGACCCAGCCACCAAAAGTCCTGGGACCCAGGAGCGTGTCGGGGATGCTCGGAAGCGGGCGTCCTCCACCCCTGCCACCTCCACTCCCGCAGTCACTGGGGCTGGGAGGTTTGGCCGCAACACGGCCTGGAGCTCACTGCTCTCGTCAGTGGCCCGGACCGGTCAAGGCCAGTCTCCCGGGCATCGGCCCCCGGCCTCCGACACTACACAAGGAACCCGGGTCCATCTCTGCAGAGCCTGCTGTCGGAGGCCCAGAGAGGGGCCACGGTCGGTGCTAAATGGGGCCAGCACCCAAAGGGTGACCCCCCTGCTTCCCACAGGCCCAGCCAGTCCCCGCGGCCCACTGTTTGGGATGGACAGCAGACTCACGGGCTCGTTCTGAGAATGTCAAGCTCTGGCCCGAGATAACTAGTTCAGACAAAGACTTTAAAGTTATCTAAAAGGGAAGGGAGGACCCACAGCCTACCAGGAGTTCCTCACTGTCAGAGAGGAAACCGCTGACTACGCGTGTTTTCGCTGTGTTTTGAAATCTGAAACGGGGACGGCTGGAGGGCACAAGCCATCCAGCCAGTAGCAGGGAGGACGAATGAGCAGCTCAGCATAGGCTGGCGGGGCTGGGGGCCTCCAAGAGTCGCTGGGACATCACGTGCTGGTCACCTTGAAACCCACAACTCACGTACCTATCAGCATCCACACTGCAAACCGGACCCATGTGCCTTGGTCCAACTGCATCATGAGATAGACGTTCACAAAGATGCTCAGGACGGGAAGGACCGGCAAGAAGGGCACCTGCAGAGACAGGAGGCGGAGCGTCAGGTCTGACGCGATGGAGAGTGCGGGACAGACGGCGTCTGCTCGAGTCATTTAGCGAAACTACCCAAGAAAGGAGCGCACCCGAGGCTGATACGGACGGCCAGGTCTACGTGGCGAGGGGCTGAGTGCCAGTCCCCAGTCCCGTACCCACACCCCGTCTCCCAGCAGCCCCCAAATACACCCCCCGCAGGCAGATCCTAGTAGGTGGGAGTTTGTTCTAGGCTACTAATCGCCAAAGTGAGCTGCCGTCTAACTTCCCCTCTTACTCTTCCCCAGAAGGGGCCGGAAGAGGGGCTTCTGCTTTATTTCTAAGGCTGAACTACCTTATTATGAGTAGAATCTAAAACTGCAGAAGCCCTGGTCATCCCCAAGGCTTGGTGATGACATGCGATCCACCAGGGCAAACGTTTATTTATGAGAAGCCCAGAGAACGCAGGGCGCTACCCCACCTGAGAGCCAGGGCCCGGCCTCTCTCAGCAGGCGCCGTCTGTGCCGGGGAGCCCCAGGCTCACATCCCCCGAGGCCGGCCAGCGGGCACCTCCCTCCGCCCACCCAGGCCTCGCAGAGCCCAGGCAGGCAGGGTGGCCTCCCGGCAGGAGCGCCAGGCTCACAGCCTCCCGGGGGCTTCCCTCCAGCCCGGTCAGGCCGAGCTGCTCACCTTGAACGAGAGCTTGGTCTTGCTCTCGGGCTGCCGCCAGATGATGGCTGTGACGACACAGCAGAGGAAGGCGGAGCCCATGAGCACGAAGACTGCCCACAGCTCCCCATTTACCAGGGCCCCGTTGCCCAGCACAGCCACCATGCAGAAGGTGATGACGAGCAGGGCTAAGAGGGAGAGAGAGAAACGCACTTCAGTCATTTCCCAAGTTCCCACACACAGATGTCCTAAGTTCTCCCCGAAACCCATGGAGAGGGGGCTCCATTTCTGCAGGCACCAACCCCAGTTAGGACGGAATAACTGACGTCACAGTCCAGGGCAAGTGCGGCCCTTGCCCACCCCCGTGGATAAGCAAGACCCCAGACACCGCACAGGGGAGGGCAGGCTCTTACCTATGAGGCTGGTTGAGATGTTCACAATTAGCCCAGAGAATTTGGAAGGCTCTGTATTTTGGGGTGAGAGTACGGTTTTCAGAGAAAACTTTTCTGCTTCTGGTAAAAAGCCCATCTGGGAATCGCTGGTGCTCACCAGCTCGTTCTGGTAGACTGGGTCGAGCTCGTCACTAGTCCCGGCCATCTGGTATACCATGTTAGGCTGCTCTGGTTGATACCTGTAAAGCAGCAGTTTGCTTGAGCATCGTAATGTGCTTTTTAATTAATAAGCAAAAGGACACACACTAACTCAAGTTCTTAGTAAGCCTTCAGAGGTAAGCTGCCCAGGACACAAGGCATAAAACGGGAAGAGGATGATCAAGTGATACATTTTCCCGCAAAAAGAAAGAGAGGAGGAGGCCCAGGCCTCACCTTCTGCTCCTACCTCTCTGGGCAACACCCTCCTTGGCGCCTCTGTTATGAGGCAACTTGACCTCCACCACGAACCAGCCCAGAGGAAGGTCCCGAGAGTGTCTCTTGCTCTGAAAAGTAGCACTGGCCCTTGGATGCTTAAGGTATTAGGCCACTTCCAACAAAACTATGGCTGTAGGGGGGCTAACAGCACAGACAGAAATAGAAAGCAATTATGTTAGGACCCTATCTGGTGCAGAGAGCCAGAGGACTGTGTCTGCAGTCTGATGAATTCGAGAAACTCTGTTTGCAAGACTTAATTGGATCAATTTATTTTAAAACTCCAAGTGCCTTGGAATAAATAACTCTATAGAGCTGGGTGAAGGACCATGATTTCCAGGACACAAGCCACCCGCAAGTGAAACACTCATTTTAAATGAGGCTCCGTATCTTCCCAGCCAAGATGATCAAAGGTCGGATGCTTCCCACTCGCTTTGCAAAACGGAGCGCTCTAAGGATTATTCTGCATATAATCTAAGGGCGAATGTAAAGATATTTAACCCCTTTTTTCACCGACTCACTCATGCAGTACCATTCGGTCTGTTAAGACAGTGGGGTGGAACTCAGAGAGATTTTAGCCCTGAGCTCGTGGGAAGGAAGAAGTGGGGGGAAACTAGCAAACTAGCTCTAGCTGACTCTCCAGAGCCACTACTGAGGCTCAAGCCAGGTCGTTAGCTGTAGAGCACGTTAGGGATGGGATCGGTGGCCTGGCAAGTATAAACCCCTGAGAAAGGGGGGGGGGGGGGGGCCCCCGCGGTGGCCACACTG